TTTCCAGAATTCTTAGGGGAGAGTAACTCATTGTAGAATTCCCGGGAAATGAAGTAAAAGACAAGTCAGATATCTATGCTCCATTATATCACAAAATATTGGCCGAAGACTAGAGGAAAAGTAGCTTCTCTTTTCTTGAAAATTCACCAAGTCATCAGTTAACTGGATGACAAGCTTAGTTTTTGGACTATAGTGAGAATTAGGTTCAAATACCAGCTCTGACTTTTACCAGCTTTGTAAAGCTGGGTCTATAATTTAAATGAGATAACCCTGGGATTATTTTTTTCATTGTGAGTCTTCCAAAAAGGATAGTGATTGAATATTGAGGCACAATATATGTGCTAGAGAATGTAAGAGTTGGGATGAGGTTTGTTGTCAATTGTTTTGAAATTCAGCTAGAGAGATAAGTGGTAAAAGAACATATAATTAACAAGTATTGGTAAGTGGTAAGCTTATCAATAAGTTTTCAATATATATTGAGTAATTCTGTGAAGCCATGGAATGAGGAACACTGAAATTTGTCTGCAGAGGGAGAACAGTATAGGATTTGTCATGGTGGAAGGAGCCCAAGATAGAGTCTTCAAGAAGAATAAGGAGGGCTAAAGTGTTTTTGTCCAAATTTTGTAAAGCTTTCATATGATCTACAGCAGGTAAACAAAAATAAAATTAAAAAGTAACAACTAAATGGAAATAATCCATATAGAGATGGCAGGAGAAACTAAGAAATTCAATGTTCCAAATCATAGCCTAGCATAAACAAAACTGTGGCAGCAAGAGAAAACAGATATTTAGGAAGCATAAAGAGAATGTGGATACCCAATGTTTGACGCTGTGTCTCAGCATCTGCTTTGATCCCATGTTGGGTGAATCCTTTCAGAGAACCCTCTATACTATGCTCCCATCTGGTTTCCTCTCTTTCACCCCTGGGTTACCTCACTCAGGATGATCTCTTCTAGTTTCATCCATTTGCCTGCAAATTCCATAATTTCTTTTTTTTTTCTTTTTGGTAATTTTTTAATTATTTATTTTTTTAAAAATTTATTTATTTTTATTAATTACAGTTTATTCACTTTGTATCCCAACTGTAGCTCCTTCTCCCCTTCCCTCAGAATCCCATCTTCCCTTCTTCATTTCTTTCCATGCCCCTCCCCCAGTCCACTGATAGGGGAGGTCCTCTTCCCCTTCCATCTGATCTTATTCTATTGGGACTTCTCAGGAGTGGTTGCATTGTCTTTCTCTGTGGCCTGATAAGGCTGCTCTCCCATTAGGTGGAGGTGATCAAAGAGCAGGCCACTGAATTCATGTCAGAGACAACCCCTGTTCTCATTACTAGGAAACCTACTTAGACACTGAGCTGACATGGGCTACATCTGAGAAGGGGTTCTAGGTTAACTCCATGCGTGGTCCTTGGTTGGAGTTTTAGTCTCAGAAAAGATACCTGTGTCCATATTTTTTTTTCTCTCCTTGTGGAGGATTGATCATTTTACCCAGGGTCCTCCTTCTTGCTTAGCTTCTTTAGGTGTACTGATTTTAGTATAGTTATCCTATATTATCTAATATCCACTTATAAGTGAGTGTATATACCATGTGTGTCTTTTTGTTTCTGGGGTACCTCACTGAAGATGATCTTTTATAGTTACCACCATTTGTGTGCAAATTTCATGTTTTCCTTGTTTTTAATTGCTGAAAGGCTCAACATCCTTAACCATCAGGGAAATGCAAATCAAAACTACCCTGTGATTTCACCTTACACCCATCAGAATAGTGAAGATCAAAAAGTCAAGTGACAAAACACGATGGAGAGGATGTGGAGAAAGGGGAACCATTGTTCCTCCATTGCTGGTGGGAATATAAACTTGTACAACCACTTTGAAAATAAATCTGGCACTTTCTCAGATAATTAGGAAAAGTACTACTTCAAGATCCAACTTGGCAAGGGGCACGGTGGAGATGAGGGAGGGAGGGAGGGACTGGGAGAGAATGAGGGATCGGGACACGGCTGGAATACAGAGTTAATAAAATGTAACTGATACGAAAAAAATAAAATTAAAAAAAAAAAACCAAAAAAACCCCCCAAAAAAACAAAAACAAAAAAAAAAGATCCAACTACACAACTCCTAGGCATATATCCAAAAGATGCTCAAGTAAACAACCAAAGACATTTACACAGCCATGTTCGTGGCAGCTTTATTTGAAATAGCCAGAAGCTGGAAACAACCCAGATATCCCTCATTTAAGGAGTGGATACAGAAATTGTGGTACATTAACACAATGAAGTACTACTCAGCAGTGGAAAACAAGGATTTCTCATGATTTCCTTGTTTTTAAGTGCTGAGTCGTATTCCATTGTATAGTTGTACCACAATTTCTGTATCTAATCCTCAAATGAGGGACATCTAGCACAAGGAGTCTTATGGAGAAAGAGAGGGATGGGAATAGAGGGACATGAGGAGACAAGAGCCCTACAGGGAGACAAACAAAACTAAAAGATCTGAGCCCAAGGTATCCTGCAGAGACTGATGCACTAACCAAGGACTGTGCATGGAGAGGACCTAAAGCCCCTGCTCGGATGTGGCCAATTGGCAGCTCAGTCTCCATGTGGAACTCTGAGAGAGGGGAATAGTAATTGCCTCTATCATGAGTTCAGTTGACTGCTTTTTGATCACCTTCCCCTGGTGATGTGGCCTTGCCAGGCCACGGAGGAAGAGGATCCAGGCAGTCCTGATGAGACTTAATAAGCTATAGGCCAATGGCAATAGTTGGGAACTCTCCCTTTCCACTGTGGACTAACGGAATGGGATGGGGGGGATAGAGGGTGGATGAGACTGGAGGGAAATGAGGGAGGGGGCTTCAATCAGGATATATAGTGAATAAATTTTGAATAAACATAAAAATTAAAAAAAATAATGTGGATATTCATTTCCATGGCAACAATAGAAGCTGGATAGGTAAAGGGACCAGGTCATGCAAGCACTTCCATACTAAATGTTTGGAAGAATGAATTTTAACACATAAGTTATGAGAGGAGCACTTAAGATCTTAATGGCATGCATAGGATCTGGTCATAGACTAGAGAAATGTGTCAGAAGGGACAAAAAGTGAAGCAGTTGCCTTGGAGGAAAATACCAATGCCTTGGATGAAGATAGTGACTTCTGTAACAATTTTAGGAGGTAGAATAAAAAGAAAATGGTGAGCAATACTGTGAAAATATAAGAAAATTAGCTAAGATGCCTTCCAAAATGTTAGTTTTGTTATCTGGGCCAATGTAGGATTAGTTAGTAGTAATGTGGGAACATTATACATATACAGTTCCTCTATATATTAACTTTATTTTATTGAAAATAGGTTCTTTTATGCAATTTATTATGGTTATGGATTCTTCTACTACTCTTCCCAGTTCTTCCCAAACCCTCCCCCACTGATCTGGATGTACTCCTTTTCTGTCTTTCCTAGAAGACAAACAGGTTTCTAAGAAATAATTATATAATAAGATAACATATGTCTTAAACAATAAAATCATAATATGACAAAACAACCAAACAAGAAAAAGGGCTGAAGCAAAAGTGTAACAAATGCATAGGACCTTTTAAAATACTCAAATACATCATCCTATGAATGACAGTATGTTTTGTATTTCCTTATTTTTGTGTACTTTTGAATCATTTCTTGCAATCATCTATTGGAGAGGGATTGTATAAACTCTTGTTTTCTCTATTTCTCCAAAGAGGAGATTAAGACCATGTCCTTTCTCTAATATAGGTGATTAGCAGCACTAGTTCCATGAGATAGGAAATCAGTAGAAGAGAGAATTGGGGCATCTTACTTTTTTCACTTGGCTTTAAGAAAAGGCTATTAAGCAACTTTCTGGAAAGACACTTTGAGTCAAGTCTATACAAAAATTTGTTCATGTGGAGTGTTTATATCTAAGACAGTATGTCATAAATGTGTGACCAACAGAGAAGAAGGAAGAGTTTATTTACTGGCAAAGAAGCCATGGATAGAGGTTGATATAAAGATATGGGGAATAAAACAGGAGCTCTTCAACTGGAATCTAAATGAATTACGAATATCTGAAATTAAACGCAAAATTATCTAGATAGCTTTACTACAATTTTATGGGTAAAGTTCTTATAGATTTCTTCAGATTTTTTAAATGCAATTTGGCCTTACAGGGGATGTCCACAGCTCATTTCTATGGCACAAATGAAGCTACTTCAACAGGTTTCTGCATCCAGCTGGAACACTTCCAAAGCCTTGGGGGAGTCTTGATAAATCATGAATTGTGTATTTACAATTTTCTATTGTTCTGAAATAAAAGCCTACAATCATCAGGTTGTATGATGTATTGGATAAGACAATATCCTGATCCATTTCTGTCAGCCATATTTGGAAGTTTCTTGACATCCGTTTGTGTCTGGGAGAAAAGAATATGCATAGAGAAAAACTGCAGAAAGATAAAGGTTGCACTAGGAAAAGTTAAACAAAAACGATACTCCAATCAATAATGGTTACTGTGTGAGGGAGAAAACCAGACCACATTATCAAGGAAATGGAGAGACATGTCCTTGCCATGTCCAGCAAGGATGTGAGATCAGAAATAGGGAAACTAAGACAAAGTTACCTCGGTGGAGCAAGCACAAGTGGAGGCTGCACAATTTTGCCTCTTTGAACAAGTAAAAATGATCGTTGAAGAAGTGTAAATGGCCACAATGGCACATAAATCTCCAGGGGAATTTGACCTACCAGGAGGTCTCCAGTTACTGTTTAATAAGGATAATATCAATTACTAAAGTAAACTTGCTATAAACAATGGAGTCTTTGCTGAGCTTAAGATCCACAGTAAATATGTGCCTGAAAATAATGAGTCTTACAGTTTAAATTTAAGACTTAAATCAGTCAGTTGTTTCTATTTTATAATCATTGTGATGAGCCTTCTTATGCAGTTTATGGAAGCCAAAGCTATACCTCAAATAAATACATGTTAACATTTTGTCTTTAGCCAATAAGAAGAAAGAGAAAGAACGCCCAGAGATCTCTCTTCCTTCAGACTTTGAACATACAATTCATGTGGGGTTTGATGCAGTCACCGGGGAATTCACTGTAAGTAAGCTCCTTATTTTGTTTTATAAGCCATGAAAATAAAACCTATTTTCTTTAAGAAATAGGTTTCAAGTAAGGATTGCTGTATTCCAAAATATCAGACTGAAAATGGACTTTTCCTGGATAATCATGCATAGAAGTAGAAAGTGGGCAACAACATTGACAAAGTCATTTTGCCCACCTTAACAAAAGTGTCTTATCATCCTATAATTTTGACCAGAAAATATTTCTTTGCCAAGGCACAGAAAATATAGCAATGGTAAGGAGACTCTGCCTGGTTCTTTACTCATGTGAAGTGAATCAAAGAAAGATTTATTCAACTTGTCCAGTGAAGGCAGTTCTTCTGAATAATTCAGGCTTTACAGTGGATCCTGATCATCTTACTACAGTAACCAAAAGTCTGTAAAATTTGCCTAGTCACCCATTTGATTTTAAGAACATAGTTTACCTTTAGGATTGTTAATTTTATTTTATTTTATTTGCATTAAAAACCACAAACTCCATGTTTCAGGAAGAAATAATTATTGTATAGCACATATGTATTAGTAGTTATGTGATTACATATATACTATGTATGAATCATCTATAATTATTGCCAACATGAATTATCTGGATATGATATAGGTTTATGACTGTTTTTATTTTGGACAATTGCATCAAATAGCACAATGTCTCAGATATATGCCATTTTATTCCTCTAAAGTATTTAGCACCCCCCCTTATTAAATAAGTGAGGGGAGAGATGTTGCTAGAAATATGACCCCATGCTTCAGCTAATTTTTCGATACTAGTAAGCAACTCAATCAACATGTGAATTTAAAGAGCTTCAAATGAATTTAGAAAATTAAAACTTTGATAAAAGTCACCATAATATTTCTTGTTTTACTAAGCTATAAAAATTGTAGACATTAAAGAGACCAATGTTCTGTCTTGTAGCATAATGGTTAGTGAATGGACTGTGTCATGTGATTAAGTAGGGGGAAAGAAGCAAGGCAATTTGATTTGGAGAACTAAACTACATCTGACAGCCAAATTATTTTATTTGATAAATTCTGGAAGTAAGCAGTGTAAGAATGAAATAGAAACAGAGTAAATGTCTTGGCCTCCTAAATTAGTGCAGACTGATTACTTCTATGTTCTCAGTAGCAAGCAGACAAAAATACTCAGAAATAATGAGACTGCTGAAATTGAGATAGATACAATTTAATGAATTTTGTTATCTGAGTCAAAGACATAACTTGGTGACATTTATTTTGAGCTCAGCCTTTATTTCATTGCTAGAACATTCCTTTGGCTACATTTAGAAACTACAAACCGATTATCAACACTGTCTTTCCCACTGGGTAGAGATTGTTTATATAATCTGACCATTGTCTGTTTAAAAACATCTAAAGAGTGTCTAGTTAATTTTCTGATATTTGAAACAGGAAAAGCCCTCAAACTTTATAGTTTTGTCTAAAAACTTGTCTCTTTTATTTTAAGAGCTTCATTTTTTTTTTCAGTCCTGCTATGCTTTTCTTCTGTTGAACCTCCTCATAGTTTGGTTGATATTATTCCATGCTTTCTTTTCTTGTTCTTTTCCTTTTGGGGTTCTGCTGTGTATGTTTTCTCATTTAGCATTTAGGTTCACTTGTACTTTATTTCCTTCTGCCTTATTTGACATCTTTTGTCACATTTCCCCCATCTTTAGCTCTTTCTTTTTTCTTTCTGGATTCTCAGTGGAAATAAAAAGAAACTAAATCACCACCATTTTACTGACTGCAGCACTAAGCCATTTCCATCGTGAGCTGAATTAGAACCCAATGGACCAATTAGAGAGGAGTGAGGTAGAATATATTATAGACAGCCCCTATAGCCCTGATGCAACCAAACCAAATGGCATCCTTTTATAAAATTTATTTGAAATGAAATAGCTCTTTATTATTTCCACTGATAGAAATTTGTTGACCTTGTGAACAGACACGCAACACATTTGGAATATTGAAGTAGCAGATTGATAATCTGTAGCAGCTGCTTGTACATACCTTTTAAAATAATCATAAATTCCTTAATCCATAACCTTACATAATCTTCCTTCTTCTTTATCTTAACTATGATTTAGAATTAATATTTTATTATGTTTAATGTTTATACTAGCAAAAGTAATAAGCCTTTAACTCTTCTAATGGTAGGGTACAGAACTGAGTCTTAATTGCCATAGATACCATTAGGTCATTGTCCATTGGGGTAAAATCACATTGTGAAATTTGATTATTGTGGTTGTGGTGGTTAAATTTTGAGCAATTTGCTGAACTTGTAGACCAGTTGTTTTATAAGAGTCTGCTCTTTTGAATAACTGATCACTAGTTTGCTATGTTGCTTGGTGATTATGCTAATGGCTAATTGGCTCATATAACCTTATATACCTGGGCATACACTTGGACCCTAAAGCTAAAATTAGGACGGGAGGTGAGATTTGGGGTTTTAAATTATTACAAGTCTTTACCCATTATATTGCCATTTTTGTCCCAAATACTTCAGAACTCCCCTTTCCAGACCTCTAGACCTGTGACGGTCGCTTCAAGTCAATCAGAGGGAAAAATGGTATGAGTGATAAAAATTATCATTTCTTATGATAAGATAGATGCTTGGCCTGTTGTATCATGCTGCCATTCTCCTGGGCTACACTGGACACTCCCCAGCTTGATGTAAACTCACAAGTTATTGTATATACATAGGCATGGATATGTGCTCCTGCTCCTGATGTTCAGTCTCTTAGGTCTTCATTAGCTATCTAACTTTTTAGATGAGTTCCTCAATTTGGATTAGTGAAATGTCTCTCTGATTATGTGCCATTGTGGCATATGCTCAAATTACAGAAATCAGGTCTCATTGAGAAACTGGTTTGTTTTTCCTTAGAAAAGAGAAATTATATCAGCACTGTAGTTATGTGGTAAGTAGAGTTATCTAGAGGAACTTCTTCAACTGACAGCAAGTTTGTTTTTGTTTTTGTTTTTTTTTTTTTGCTGTCTAGTGATTATGATACCACTATTTATTACAAAGTTTATAAGTGCCATGGGCATGTATAATACTTATAAATATTCTAATGATTATGGTAATGATCATGCCAGTGAAGTCTGCATTAGTAGATATTTGCAATGCATACCTGAATTTGTAACACTTAACTCCTTTGGCCATTATAGTATTAACCAAATGCTATTAATTGCACTTAGAATCAGACCTGGAATCATGCATGGGCTCCTGAGTTCCAATTTTTGGCTTAAGGCTTTAGCATCAAATTGTGTTATGAATGCATGTAAAAGTGTTGTCTCACTGTGCTTGGAGTAACCATAAATGCCAGGATTCAAAGACATATATCCGAAATCAAAGCAGTTGGGTCAAAGCATGTTTCTGTAGCATTTGATATATTTTCAATTAGACAAATCTGTTAATTTGTATTTGATCTTATTTGTTGGAAGTGGGGTTTGGGAACTATGTCATTAAATGGAAATATTTGTGCAAGATTTGAAATGAAATGTTTTCCCTTTCCCTGATAGAAATACATACTAAGCCTAAGCGTAGTTTCTGGCTGTGAGGATGGCTTTAATATAATTTCCTCTAAGTCACCCATGATTTTAGCTACAAAGTATGGAAGAATAAAACTCAATATTACAACAAAGCTCAGTATTGTTGCATAGCCATCCTTTGAATTTTAGTCACATAGATAAGTCCAATGTGAAATGGAAATTTCGATAACCAGAATTGGAAACTGAAATTTGTAATTTCATCCTATGGCCATGGGCTATCTGTGATAACCCAGTTATTAAAAAAAAAAAAAAAAAAAAAAAAGCTTACAAATGCCATCCTTTATCCCTCCAAATTCTTGTTGCTTCTTTTTAGTAATTTCTCCAATCACTTACTGGTAATTCTTATTATTGCCTATTTATGAAGGAAGCATCTGGCCCAAAGTGGAATTATATATCCAAACTTTGGAACACTATTATTTTCTCTGTTCTTTTAAATCTGTAGCCTGTCCTTTCCCTGGTTTAGTTAATAACTCCCTATTTCCCTGACCACCCCACTTTAAAAGGGACTCCCCATTCAGACCCATTGGTTTCATCTCTTCCCACCTTCTAAGTTGTCCCACATCCTGTTTTAACTTTCTTTTCTTTCTTTATTTACGTCCATTACAGCCAGATCTCTATGGCTCACAGATGTGCCCAGGGAAGCTCCCAGAGGTGCGTCACAGGCCCAAAAGAAGCTTGCATCAAAGTGCTTCTTTGAGATGTCATAGCACTGCAGTAGCAGGTTCATGTGTGTGCAGTAGAGTTGTTGCTTGGCTTATCTCACTTTTTTTGTTGTCATTCCCAAACTCTGGAGGCCCATGTCACACATTGTTTTGCTGAGACTTCATGGGACAAAGCCATATAAATTGGGTCTGGATGCATTTCAACAATAGTGTATCCATTTCTCTCTCCAAGCTGTTCTTTGAGGTTAGATTAGAAATTATAAAATGGGGACATCTGCAGGTTGAACATGCAAGAAAGTATACTGAATGCTGGATGTAAAGCTAACCTCTGTAATTTTAAGTAATTCTCCTTTGTTAGATTACTGAATAGTCCCCTCTCTCTGCTCTAAGTGCTTCATATTATTCATTACAAATTCTCACAAGGCTTTGATATGGTTTCATAGTCCCCAGCTTCTATGTGGCCAGTGAATGAAATAGGGAGAGAGATAGGGGGTTGGGGGGAGGAAAGGAGGAAGCCATGCCCCTGACAAAGCTGCAAGAAAAATACCCAAAGCAGCATAAATGTTACTGTTTTGTATTTCAGGGGTCATTGCTCCTCCACAAATCTAGTTTTTTCTCCTCCTAATTTGACGAATTCCCGAAACCCTTAAATTACATTTTGTAAACGAAAAGTTTAAACTGACACAGGGTAAGGCTTTATTATTTATTATTTGAAAGGATATTCTGGTTAAAACGCACCCCCAAAGGGCTTATGTTACTCCACTCATTAAAGAAAAAAAAGCATTGATCTGCACTTTACTATACTGTGCACAAATTTAGAGAAGTCTTGCTATGTCTGCCCTGAGTCGCCAGAAAAAAACTAAGCTAAGCCGTAAACATCATTTCATGGATGAGCAGAATCAATATGGAGGTGATTTTCATGCGCTTTGTTTATTATCACAATCATACTCTCACCCACCCCTTTTAATTTGGATCCTAGTTTTACCTATGTGTTTTGATTAGTGAAGAGAATGATTGCATTATTAAGTTACTAACGTAAAATCTAGAATGTAACTTCAGTTTCCCAAGTGTAATCCTACAGGTAGCATGGGCTTCTTGGTGAAGAACTTAACTGGAAGGTGCATATACTCCTGATGAGTGTTCTAAGCAGCCCTTCTTTCCATTTGGTTGTCCACAGGGAATTCCTGAACAATGGGCACGGTTACTCCAGACCTCCAATATAACAAAATTGGAACAGAAGAAGAATCCACAAGCTGTTCTTGACGTTCTCAAATTCTACGACTCCAAAGAAACAGTCAACAACCAGAAATACATGAGCTTTACATCAGGAGGTAAGGGAAATCATATGGTATCAAAGGGAGTATAGCCAGTTCTCAGAGCCTCATCATGAGGCCAAAGTATTTTCTGCAAATGGCTTCAGTGTCAGTAAACCAGCAGATGGAGTGGGAATCTGACATTCATGCTAGATTTGTTTTAGTTAGGTGTTGTTGTAGTACAAATAAGGAAATTGTTCATTGGTGATTAGCTTGAATCAACAATAACAGTTCTAACTCTCCATGAGTACAAGTCTAGTCAGTCGTTTAGAATTAGGTCTTGAATATGTTGATGAAATAAGAATATAAGGATGAACAATGGTCTCCAGAAATTCATTGAATTATCTGTGTCATGACAATTCAGGACAACATTGTGCTTGTCAGGTTATTTTCACTGGGTCCTCAAATTTAGGGAAAAAAAAAACTATCAATGTCTTATTATTTGTAGAAATTGAAATACCATTGTTAATCCCAAATTGTGACTCCATTTGTTGATATGTATATAATCCATGTTAAACCCAAATTGTTACTTCATTCACTCATATGTACATATTTCCTTTAGTTGTTCATTTTTATTTTTGAGAAATATCATTTGAATTGGATCTATAGAACAAATCATTTAGCATTTAGAGAAAGGGGGAAACACTGTATTTTTAGTCCACTTGAAATGAGGCCTTCATTAAAATTTGTAAAGTAACTTCCTGAAAATAGTGTTAGGAGGTAATATGAGGTATGTTGAGAGAACAACATGCCGTTTGTCACAGGTTTAATGCTGACATTTTCTTCTAATTGAAGATGAACAGTTTTTAGGGAGTATTTATGAAACAGAGGTGACTTCTTCATTCTGAATTTTCAGATAAAAGTGCTCATGGATATATAGCAGCACATCAGCCCGTAAGTGAAAAATTTTCTTCATTTATTTATTTTTATATGTTATAATTACATTTGTCTGTTTTTTAAATTAATTAATTAATTAATTAAAATTTATTACAATTTATTCATTTTGTATCCTGGCTATAGCCCCCTCCCTCGTCTTGTCTCCTCCCCATCCTACCATTCCTCCTTCTTCTCCCACTATGTCCCTCCCCCAGTCCACTGATAGGAGAGGTTCTCTTCCCCTTACCTCTGACCTTAGCCTATCAGGTCTCATCAGGACTGGCTGCATTTTCTTCCTCTGTGGCCTGGCAAGGCTGTACACTGAGCAGGGCAGGTGATCAAAGAGCCAGCCACTGAGTTCATGTTAGAGACAACCCCTGTTTCCCTTACTAGGAAACCCATTTGGAAACTGAGAAGCCTATGGACTTCATCTGAGCAGAGGGTCTAGGTCTTCTTCATGCATGGTCCTTGGTTGGAGTATTGGTTTCTGCAGGGCCACCTGGGCCCAGGTTTTTTGTCTCTGTTGGTCTCCTTGGTGGAGCTTCTGTCTCCTCCAGGTATTTCTGTCTCCCCTTCTTCTGTAAGGTTCTCTACACTTTGCCCAAAGTTTGGCTGTGAGTCTCAGCATCTCCTTTGATGCTCTGATGGGTAAGAGTCTTTCAGAGGCCCCCTGTGGAAGGCTCCTGTCCTGTTCCCTGTCTTCTCCTACTTCTGATATCTATCCTGTTTGCTCTTCCTAATGAGGATTAAGCCTCTTCCCTAGGGTCCTCCTTGTAGTTTAGCTTCCTTAGGACTACGGGTTTTAGTATGTTTATCTTATATTATATGGCTAATATCCACTTATAAGTGAGTTTATACCATATGTGTCTTTCTGCTTCTGGGTTACCACCTTCAGGACAATCTTTTCTAGTTCCCACCATTTGCCTGCAAATTTCATGATTTCCTTGTTTTTAATTGCTGAATAGTGTTCCATTGTGTAAATGTACCACAATTTTTAGGAGGGTAAGTGAAATATTAAAATTTGTTTTTCATGAGCATTGTAACCTAAGGTCTAACAGTACAATTGCTTGTATCTGGTTTCATATGTCCAACTTTCAGACATAAAATTTAAAGCAGCTTTAAAAAGACATAATTTAGAAACACAAATATATATTTTATGTATTTTAACACGCATTTTTAAACTTAATACATACCTATAAATATCTATTTTACCCATTGTTAAAAGTCCAATATGTTTTAGTAAATTTATACATCACTGTTACTATCATTACAATCAATTTTCAATTGTAAAAATAAATAACATTTGTTATCACAAGTTGCACAGAATTCACAGATTTTACCAAAATTATTTTATGGGAAAATATTTGGTTACATCGTGACATTTCTATAAATATTACACTATTATTCTACTTACAGCTAAAACTTCAAAGGCACTATAATTCTCATATCAACTATTAGCCACAACCCGTTTTTGGAAAAGAGAAACAGAACATCTAATCTTCTAGGTGATATTCCCATGCTGGGCAGTCGGGTGTATATATATTATACTAGTGATAGGATGCCCATGTTAGGAAGGTCCTTACCAAACCCTTAGTTTAACACTTTTCGTTTTAGAGTGGGGAAATAAAGGTGAGAAGTATCTTTAAGAGCTCTTTTACCTGTCCGTTTGGAAAGTCATCACAATGGCCTACGTTTATTCCTGATTAAAAATATTATTTTTTGTTTACTCAGATTGAGGAAGAAATAGTAAATGCTACTGAAAATGGTATGAAAACTGACAGCCAAGGCAACTTGGGTCAGACATTAGAAAATCAGGGTTTATTACACATCTGGTACTGCTGTAGAATGCTTTCGAACAATTCACACCATAGCCCCAGTCAGTCACCCATATTGTGTTTACTTTACAAGGTTTACCTTTAGACACATTTCATGCAAGTGAAGTTATATAGGATACAAACTTGTAGAATTTGCTTTTTCATTCATAATATTTCTTCTAAGATTCATCCATGTTTTGGCCAGTGTCAATAGTTTACAACTTGTATTGATCCAGTATTCTGAGATATGAATGTTTCACATTTTCACCATTCACTCAAGGCTTTCCAGATTATGTACAGTTCTTATATATTACAAATAAAGTTCCTATTAAAACTCACGCGTAGTGGATTGATGAGCACTTGCTGCTCTTACAGAAGACATGGGTTTGATTCTCAGTATCCACCTGGTAACTCACAACCATCTATAACTACAATGCCGCAATGCTACAGAATCTTGATATCCTCTTCTAGCCTCTGCAGGCATAACTTTGGAATTAACCTGACTGTGGCAATGAGAAATGAATAAATGAGAAACATGTTCAAAAAAGCTGAGTCCTGTAGACTGTGTGCTCTGGTAGAGATGCATCCATTGCCCGGAAGCCCACCCTGTTTATTATACACAGTTGAATGAGGAAGCAAGTTTATTATATACAGTTGAATAAGGAGGCAAGTTAGCTAATCTAGGTAGGGGGTCTCTGTAGGAGAACTGTCTCAGGATGCAGTTATCCATGGGGAGGGAGCTGTTGTTATAACTTTCTGCATATGCTGTCAACATTCATACTTGAACCAGGAGAAGGGCTTGCCTTTCTCATGGGTCTGAGATATTGGGGTTCTTGTAATGACCATGCTTATGTCAACAATACACTTTTACTCAGGATTCATCTACTCTCCACACATACTACAATAAAGACATGCATGCAGGAAAAACACCCACACAGGTAAAACTTAAACAAATTTATATGTATTTGTCTTTATTTGGGAAAATATTTTTGCATATCTCACATTGATATTCTTGAAAATAATAATAATAATAATAATAATAATAGTAATTTCTCTATTGAAATAGTAAATTTTCTTAATTGAACACTTACAAAATACACTTGCAATGTACAATGTTGGCTAGTACTATTTGTACATTCATTTAATCTTTCCTACAACCAAGTTAAGTAAGACTTACCATGGTCCCCAGTTACAGATATACAGATAAAGAAATTGAAGTTCACAGACATGAACTTACTTGATTAGGGTCAATGCTATGCTTATTTTAGTTATTTATTTTTAAAAATGGAGGCACCTGAGGGTAGATGATTTTTCTCAAAGTCACCGAGTTTTGAAGAGGACAAACCAGAAAATATGTCACCTAATGCTTGGAAATCCTGTCATAAAAACAGTCATATTCTTTAAAGAGAAAATGGTCACAGGCAAGGCCCCTCTTTCTGTGGATTGCTATTTTGATGGAAATTAATAATATTTCTATTTTGATGGAAATTAATTATTAATAATTAATAATATTTCTGATAGAAATTATTTTCTGCTTTATTTGCTTCATAGAGTGGAAGTCATCTAACCATTTTATTCAGAGCTGTAGATAGCTTTTTTTTTTTTTAAGAGAGAGTAAACACTGACTTGATGACACCTTAGGCAACAAGTATGACAGCAATAAATATTTGTAATGGGTAAAAGTTTGACATAGTGTGACAATTTCTCAAGGATTAAAAATAAAAAATTGCCATTTAATTAAGCTATTCTTTGTATATAGAAAGTAGAAAGCAAGGTCTTTAAAAGACTCTTTGTCCACCTCTGTTCATAGTAGCTGTATCCATGATAACCAAAGAAGGAAGCCACATAAATATCCATAGACAGATTAAGCAAAAAAAAAGTATTAAGAACAAGCTTTTGGTTGTTGTTCAGCATTATGATGGAAGAAAAATTTGAACACGATGCAATGTGTGGATTTTGATGGCCTAAAATAGTAATAAGACAAATATTGCATGCCTCTGATCATAGGAATTACACAGAGGAGTTACATTTGTATTGAAAGAAAGATGAGTGCTAGTATCTGGAGCCAAGGAGAATGTAGAGTTGTTTAATTTTGGAAGATGAAAAGGTGCTGATAAGTATATAATAATATGACTGTTCTTAACATATTGCTTGAGTGATTTTTATGTTATAGATACTTTATAAGAATAAAAAGTAAAGTGAAGACCAAGGTAGGTATATAGATCAGTAGTTGAAGGCATGCTTAGTATTTATAAGTGCTTGGTTCAATCTCCAGCACACACACACACACACACACACACACACACACACACACACACACACGGACGCACATGCGCATACACATTAAAAACGTAACAAAATTCAGAGGATGAAAATAAATGAAACAAGAGGAGAAGATTTGAATATAGTGTTTAATCTTATTCTTCTAATCATTGACTGAATATTTGTGAATAACTTAGCTTTTTCGGACCTCTTTTCCTCTGAGTTTCTTTATTCAACATTAAATGGGGATGATAACAGTATCTACCTCCTAAGATATGTGTGAATATTACATATGATAATAAATACATCATACTATACTATCCAGCATATGCTCTGCAATAAATATAAGTTGCTGCTATTATTACTATTATTTTTAGATGGGAGAATTAGTAAAAATTCATTCTTTCTACATAAGAGACTTGTATGTGACCATGTTCGTGCCTTGCTCATACTCCCTCAAAGAGAACAAATTGTGGCTTTTACATCTGATCAGGAATTTCCTCCTCTGAAATGATCGCCTCTTGGGCCACCTTGAAAATAACAGAAACAGAAAGGAAAGGCAAGTAGAAAAGAATGGCAAAAACTTACAATCAACACCTACTTCACCTTAATAAATTTAATCTTATACATGTGCAAGCATAAATTCCCTGGTAAAGACATGATCTCTTAAAATATCTTTTACTAATCCTTTGAGAATTTCATTCATTATCTTTTGATCATACTGACCTCCAAGTCCTCTGTTTAACACTTCCCATAACCATTCCAAACCTCTTAATCTTCTCTCTCTCTCTCTCTCTCTCTCTCTCTCTCTCTCTCTCTCTCTCTAAATTTAATTGACTAATTTATGTAGCGCATACACTTCTGGGTATGGAGCCATCTACTGGAGGATGGTAGCTCCTACTAGGAGACACATCCTGAAAGAAAACTTTGCCTCTCCCCACC